ATAAAAATACAAGTGAATTGAAAGGTGTGTATTTAGCACCATGCACACGTTCCTACATCTGTTGTTCAGTGAACACCACAACACGCAATGACCAGTTTGCTCTGAATTAGCCTACTCCTGTAGGGATTCTCAAGTATTGAATTAAGTTTGAAAATACCATGTAAACTTTGTCTCAGAGAGGATGCTAACAAGATTTATTGCTTCTTCCAAGTGATTTCCATGAACTCTGTGAAAACATAGTATCTTTGGAGCCTCTGCCTAACCACTGAATTGGTTGTAGTCAGCCCAAGGGCTCAGTCCTCACTGAAATTGTCCTGGTGCAGCAAATTCTTTGGAATGTGGGTGTTAATCATCTGTTGTCTTGTGTGGGCTAAACAGAGTGAAGTAAGTCTTTGTTAGTAAACAGAACCTGAGAGTAACCACAAAAACAATTCTGCTTTATAAAGTAGTGTGCTGTCTGTGGAAAGACCAAAAAAGTGATTTCTCAATGAAAAACATCAGAGCTTGTCAAGTCTGACATCCCTGCTTAGTGAGAGATACAGAAGACCTTTCTCTGCCATATTCCCAGCTAACACCATGTTACATTTTTTTTGTTTTACAGAATTGTCAGCCTGCAATGATCTGCAAGATTTTACCTAGTTTCACCTCATGCCAGCATATGGGATATATGATATTGTTTCTGATATTGTTAGTAAGAATCGAGTGAAGAGCAAAAGATAGGTAAACCCACCTGAATAAGGGAAAGAGGCAATGGAAATAACGCATATAAAAAGAGCATAGGAAACACAAAACCTAAAAGGTATACAGAAACTTCCCAGGACGTGTTGCTATGTTGTCCTTACTTAGAGAACCATGCCAGCTGAGATAGAAAGTATCCTGTTTTGAAAATGCTATAGCAAAATTTTGATGCCCAGGTGGTCTAGCCTACAGCTGGACATAACATGAGATGCCCAAGTATGTCTTAACCCCCAGTATCAGCCAACTCTCTTTCAGGTACCCCCTGGTTATCCTCTGCCTCTGTACATCCCTGATGATCCACAGGCTTAGAGGGAGAGGACAAAGGGGAATACTTGTGTTCCTTTCTCCTTTGCAAACCCTGTAAAACACAAAAGTAGTGTTCTTTTAAGGAAATGGTCTGTATATGCTCTTCTTTTTGTCTTTGAACCCTATTCCTCTTCCCAAGTACTTTTGTGGTTCTCATAAATTTTATCCCTACTTTTGCCAGTTGATTACTTGTTAAGCAGGCATGTATGGGAATGGAGCTAGTTGTTTATCAAATGCTTCAGCCTGCTGAGTCATCACGCAGTCATTATGCTACTTGGCCAATTTTAAATTAAGAGTTATCATACATGATAACACTGATCATGAAAATGCATGCACGTGTCAGCAGGTTTGTGCAGATGTACAGCCCCACTCACTTTTACAGGACTGATGTGTTCCACATTGTGCAGTATTGCCTGTGAACTCTTTATGGGGAATGGGATCTTGGGCAGGCCAGGATCAGCCTGTACAAATGATGAATCCTAAGAGTGATGCAAAAGGGAAAGATAGACAGAAATTCAACAGCCCTGCCTACTGTATTCTCTCTTTAGGATACACTGTGAAGTGGGAACATGTCTGTGTCCTATTTTCTAGTACTTGCTGGTGTTGGGAGGATTATCAAATGCACTGTACCCTGCAGGTATAGTCAATCAACAGCTTCAGCCTGGGGACAGAACTTTCTCAAAACTAGCCTGAGCCTGAAGAAATGGGTTTCCTAGAACCAGCCGCCCAGTCCTCATATCAGTTTCACAACTTTTAGTTCTCAGCACGAAGTGTATTTTTCTGCCTTTGATGTCTCCAGCACATGTTTAGAACCAAGTGTGTAGTAAATAAATTCCAAACCAAAACTCATACCTTTCCTCAAGAAAGAGAGTGTACGAGCATGTGAGAGACGTTAGCCATGTTGCTCAATGCACCCGAAGGACATCCCTGGAGGTAAAGACATGTAGATGTGGCGCTTAGGGACATGGTTTAGTGGTAGGCTTGGCAGTGTTAGGTTTATGGTTGGACTTATGATCTTAAAAGGTCTTTTCCAACCTAAACGATTCTATGATTCTATGATTCTGTGACATGCTTAAGCAGGAAGAGCTTTGGCAGTGTTAGGTTTATGGTTGGACTTGATGATCTTAAAGGTCTTTTCCAACCTAAATGATTCTATGATTCTATGATTCTGTGACATGCTTAAGCAGGAAGAGCTTATGATGGAGCCTAAAGCTCTTTGGTTACTGTGTGTCCAGGTAACATAATTTCCTTTTCACCTTCTCAGTTTGCTTTCTGCCTTTTTGGTAATTTCTGACAGCCCTTTTGGGTTCAAGGCATGACATTTGACAACTGGGTTGGAGATGGAACAGATCAGTAGTGCACTGGGCGAGTTAAGGAGGGCAGCTGAGCTGCTGCAGCTTAGCCACAGGATGGGCTGTAACAGAAGTAGCCTAGGAGTGACCATATGAGCATCGGGAGGCAGGGGGAGGGCTAGGAAGCCCTGCACCAGTGATTCACTGAGTTCAACTTAAAGTGTTACGAAATGCAGGCTCTGGTCTGTGCCTTGGAGGGGTTTCTCTGTGCTCATGGGGCGGTTGAGTTAATCCCATCCTGAAGCAGAGGTGCAAGGGACCCTTGCAGTGCTACAAGGATGTTGTCCGGGTAGCTAACAGTCTTCTGAGGGGAAGTGTAAAGGGTGGGTGTTTCTCTTGTCCAGGCACTGGCCATTCCAGGATTCTTGGGAATTTCCATTCGCGTTTCTTGGGAATATGTGTTTCTGAAGAATGTCCTGCACACACACCTCCAGCAGGCCACAGATTTCTTTCCTGAGAGTAGTGTAACTCATCCCATTTGGAGCAATATCATCTATAGTGCTTCGAAATTAACAAGATAAATTATCTTCCATGCCTTTTTTTGAAGGTGCTGTTCTGAAGTGTAATTGATATTTAGTCTAAAAAATGAGTTGCCTTTATTCTTTCTGTGGTGAAGGCCCTTCTGATAAACTCTCTGTTCACTTCTGGCTCACATGAAACTTTTTAGATGTTGTTAAATTCTTTCAGGAAGTAAGAATCATGTTTCCTACACAGACTGAGTAGGTGACAGTTTGCCCATGCACTGAGACTTGGTACCTTTTGGAGAAAAAAGACTTCTTCAGCAAAGAAAGATTAAAACTTTCTGGATTCAAATCCTCACTTACAAGCATGGTAAAGAACACTAAAGCAATATATGAAGCAGAAGTGAACCTGTGACTACATAAATTTGCATCAGTCTCATACCTCATCACGGCTGGGTTGCTTATCTGTTCTCCAGCTAAAGCTCTGACTGCAGTAGTCACTTAAGTGATTTTCAAGAGGGCCAGAGGTGTGATGCTGGATTAAGTAGTAATTTACACTATCTTGGGAAAGGTGATGCCTGAAGCTATTGCTGTGCTTTGTAGAGGAGTTTGGGTTTTTTTTTCTGTTGTTTGTTGTTGTTTTTTTTTTAAATACTTTTCCTTGTTACCATGCATTTGTATATTGGTGTTAGGAGAGGATTAAGTAAACTACTAAATTGTTATATGGAACAGCTGAGCAACTTGAGATTTCTTTCAACGAGTTGTAGTTTATAAATTCTAACAGCCTAGCCAGTTGGTGTGGGAGGATGTCCATTCCTTAGGATCTGGATGTGAAGAAATACTGGCAAGGAATACCTTTTCACCTTTGAGGTGTTACTTGCTCCTCCGTGTCCTTCATTCATATTCACCACATGCTGAAAGATCAAGGTATTGGGAGGATCCTAGTGAGGTTTGTCACAGGTAGGTGTAGTGTGTGTTTCTGTTACAAGCCAACCTAATTTTCTTCTGGTAAACAGCCGTTGAAAGGGTCAGAACTGGTGCCAACAAACTAACACTACAGTCAATGGAGCTATGCTACCTTAACCAGAGAAGGATAGAGACAGTATGAGTAATTTTATATGGCCTCCCACCTCACTGGAGAATAAATACGAAAATTGCATGGAAATAAAAATTCTCAAATGTAAGGTTGAGGGCTTGGACTTAAGATGGACAGTTACATGCATATGTTTTAAAACTTGTTTAAAAATATGCTTGAAATATAGGAAACGTGGATTCAAACTATAAAGGGAAAAGAGATTTTGGGGTGTCTGCAGACACTTGCATGCCTTACTTGGAAAGACTGTACGAGTATAGTACAGAAATACTATCAGCATCTTGTCTTCAGAGCCATGAATGCTCAAAGGGGATCTTGACATGGACAATAATTCTCTTCCCAAGAAAGCTGTACTGCAATTAGCGTATAAAATTAGCAGGTTAAACATGAACCATATTCATTGTTTGGGCTGGGCTAGGACGAGAAGACTGAGCAAAAAGTGATGAAAGCAGCTGGCCTACTTAATAAGAGGCTGAAGCTAATTATACTGGGAACTCTCATTAAAGGTGTGGGATCTAGTTGCTTCCCTTTTCCTGGTAGGTGTCAGAGGTGTTCTTGCAGAGGGTTTGGGATATGTTTTAGTCAGAAGTAGCTTGGGTGGCAAACTAGCTACCATTCACAGTTACTTGTTTTAAGCTTTAGGTTTCATGCTTTTTTTTTCTTCCCCCCCCCCCCTCCCTTTCTTCACTTGTGAAATTTTCTTCCTCTCTCTCTCCCTCCTCCCCTCCTCAGCCTGTTTTGCTGCTTTCCTTTTTAGGTAACTGGAGGCTGTTATTGCAAAAATGACAAAGGAAAATGCTCCTCTGTTGTAACTTGTTCTGTCAGTCTCCTGTAAGCTGCTGTTCTCATGTTTACCTCCCTGGGTTGGGTTTCTGAAGACAATTGTTTCATGCTACCAAGTAGAAATCACTTAAAGGAAATGTAGCTTAAGAAAGAGTGATACTTTTAAGTTAAATATTAACCAGATTCAAACAAGCTCAAGAGCATTTCAAGTGAGGTTAACTTCTTGGGCTGGTGAACAAGAACGAACTCAAGCAGTGAAGAATAGGCATGGGGATACTTTATTCAGAGGTACGTGACCATTTTCTGCACAGTAATTGAAGCTATTGACGATAGGGATATTCACTGGGTTTGGTTGGTTCTCTTCTCAGCCTCCCAAACACAGCCTTATACAGACCTAGAAGTTCTTTGGAAATGCTGTACTTCGGCTATTACAAATTGACAGAAGTACTATTTGTAGGAGTAAAGAAAATGCAATAACCAGTGTAATTATTGTGACTTCACAGAGGAAGTACGTGTTCAACATTTTTTGTTGTTGTGTGTTGAGATCAGAATGATTCTGAGCATGGTGCAAACAACAAACAACTTTGCAAACTGCAAGCAATTCCTTGGCTTATGTTGAATATAGATAATAAAGCTAATGCCTAAGGAAACATTCCCCCCCACTCCACAATTGTTTTAGGAATGTGATTTTTTTTTTTTAGCTCTTATCTTTATGGGTTTGTCCCCAGACCACGATCCATTTAGCATACCCCTGGATTTTAGCATAAATACTACTTAAACATATTCATTATTTTATAAACTTTCCATTTGTACACTTGGGAACAAATGAGGATTTTGGTCCTTTTTGACTGTGAATACAGTGGATTGCACTTGTTTTAGGAATGTGATTTTTTTTTTTTAGCTCTTATCTTTATGGGTTTGTCCCCAGACCACGATCCATTTAGCATACCCCTGGATTTTAGCATAAATACTACTTAAACATATTCATTATTTTATAAACTTTCCATTTGTACACTTGGGAACAAATGAGGATTTTGGTCCTTTTTGACTGTGAATACAGTGCATTGCACTGTTGTTTCTTTTTCTGGAGATAGCATTGCATAGCTGTTCCTTTAAAAGGTTACATTTCTATGCTGAAAGCCACCCTTTTATTTTTAAAAGGCTATTCAGTGAAATCAAGTATCTTCTCCTCTTTCAGTGTTACAGGGAGCTTGAATCTGTGCATTCATAAGGTGATGGGCTGGGTAGACTGCACCTTATTCTGAAAGGATTTGTTGCCTCTCTCCAGATCTACTAGTCTGGGATAGTATTGTACAAGAAACCAGTGTCATCTAGCTTAATTAAAGTGGTGTTTAGAGAATGTTCAAATGCTGTCCGTATCTTCCATGCTTATTAGTTAATATTTTCATACACATTAGTTCTCTTCCTTTAAAAATTTTGAGTGAGATATAGTTTTCTGGGTAAAGTATGGTTCATTTATACAGGATAGAAATCTAGAGAAGTGCTAGTAAGAAAGTGTAAGTTGCCTTTTCTGAGGAGTATGGATTGGATACTAGTGCATTCCTCAGCATCACAAACATGATTTAGACTTTCCTGTTTAGTTTGTAGCATGCCTCTGGACGAATTTTAATGCACAGGAAGAGGCTGGATTGGTTCAGAATATCTGGACGTTACAAAGTGACTCCTTTTTGTCTAAACAACTGCAAAGTGTTGATGTAATTTAGGCAATCCCCTGCAGTTCTCAAAGGAGGAAGCAATTATAATCTGAAATTGCTCTCCCAGTTGCAAGACCGGTTTTGCCTTAGCCTCCTCTCTATTGGTTGAATGCTTTGCCCTTAGTGCCATGCCTTTAACCTTTATTCATGCGTGGTAGGACTTGCTGAATAGCTCATGGTTTATCACTACCTCAGCAAAGCTAAGCAGAGGGAGATGCAAGAAGCTCTGAAAACAAGTAGACAAATTCAGATGTGGCAGTTCATCTGGATCTGAGTAAACTACCAGGTCCTGATTTCAATCACATGGCCCACAATTGATTAAAAAAAAAATTAAGAGAACAGTTGTATAGAGGTATCGTTCTTCTTCCTGACGGTGAAAGTTTTTTTACTTTTCTTGCACCCCTGGTCTGGTGATCTTGTACTGAGTGATCTCAGCCATGAAAACCCTTACCTGTCCTATGACTACTTCTTACCTTTCCTGAAGTCTCAGATAGTGAACAATGAAATCCTCTTTTGAAGGGCTTGTAGAAGAAGTATTATAGAAAGAGAGATTCTAATCTAACTATAGAGGGTTTGCTTTAAAACGGCACTTTCAATTTTCCTTTGAACACCTGACTTCGGTGAGCATCACTCAGTCATTGGCATATCTAATCTTCAAACTCTAATTTCCAGTCCCCAGTGTCTGCCATTTGCTTTCTTCAGTCGGGCAGAGCCATGTGCTCTGGTTCATGGAGTTAGTTCATGGCTAGCTCTGATGCTGTGGCAGGGAAAAGGCACCACTGGTGAGGGTAGAAGGAGTTTGGTGTTGCGATCCTTTGTTTTCCCTCCCTTCCATCGTATGTTTTGTGCAGTGTCATGCTGTCAGGTTCATCGTGTACATCTTGTCTGAACGTTAGGTGGTGTGGCAGAAGTGTGAGTGAGAGCAGAGGTGAAGGGCTTTGCTGCCAGACAGTTCAAAGAGGTGCTCGCTTCCTCTTTACCTGAGCTGGAATTTTGGTCCTGCTCCCCCTCCCTTCAGACCTAGAGCTCATGTTTGTATTGGGTGTAATGTTTGATGTGCCTGTGGCCAGGTCTGCCCTGTTACCTTGTGGAGGTGGGCTAGGTCTGTTTTGAGTTCTCTGGGGCACTCAGGACACTGGGGTTTATAAACAATGTGGTGTAGGTGAGAGTAGCCACTCTGTGTCTTGGACTGCGAACCTCTCCAGAAGTTGTGAGCTCAGTTCCCACTGATGCTCCCTTCAGGGTTTTTTGTTGTGGGAGCACTGGCCTTTGTTTCTCACACATGCCTAAAGGAGTTGTCATAGACTTTACGTCTGTGCTCCAGTTGCCAGTGCATCTCTAACGAGGGAAGCTGCAGGGGTTCTTCTGGCTGTCCTACACTGCCGTGAGACTTCTGCACTTGTAGTCCTGCTCCTCTCCACAGCTGAGCCTGAGTCTGAGACGTGAACTTTGGATTCTTCTGATACTGCTTCCATCCTTCATGTGATGTCCACTTATTCTGAGTATGTATCTCATAGGTTTATTTCCTTCTTGTGTATGATGGGTGGATAACAATAATGTAATAACCATAACACAAATCAGAATCTGGTTGTTAAACTACATCATTGCTGAGGTGGGTCTTCTAACACTGTAGAAAACTGAGTGAGGCTTTCCAGACTTTTAGCCTCCATGCTTTTCTGTAGACATAAAGGAAACGTATTTTGGGGGGTTTTGGATGGAATCTACTGCTTGTACATAACATTGTCCTAACTCTGTAATTGGCCTCACTGCTGATATTCCAGCCAGGTGCTGTCTAACTGTGTGTATGTGAGAAACTGCATTAATTGTCTTCTGAGCAAAGTTTGGAGAATTGTTTAAAACAGTCTTAGGCACAGTTAATCCTAATTTAGATAAAGCTGCCAGAGTGGCAACCCCAAAAAGTGAAAGGTGGAAGAGGGGTTTGTTGCAGAGGCTTCACAACCACAGAAATCCTCGCACGCTTCTCAAGCTCCAGCCTGGAGCCAGTCAGGTTTTGTGTCCATTCTGCTGCTACTGGAAGCCTGTTTTGGAACTTTACTCTGCACATGGCTAGAAATCTCTTTCTAATTTGCATGTTAAACTTCCTGGCCAGATATATCACCTTTTTTACCTTGTCCCTTGAAATTAATTGGCTCTTCTTCTCTAATACTTACCCTTTAATTTATTTTGGAACACTTACAGCCCTGTCTCTTTTCCTCCTAGCCATGCTAAGCAAATCAGTCTTTCTTCAGGCTCTTCATATTCCTCAGTTGTGTAGAGGTTTTACGCTCCTGCCATAGTCCGATCTCATTTTTGGACCCAGATGACAAGAACTGTATCCACTATCCCAGTTAAGTGCCTTCTATTAAAGCTCTCTTCTTTTTCTGTGAGAGAGACTGCCTAATATAACTTTTGCCACTGGTTGCTGTTTCTGATGCCTTTCTTACACAGGTGACTGACTGCCACCTATTTGTAATTTTTCTTACCTTTATTCTTTCCTAACACATTTTTTCTGAAGTCCTATTGTTATTGATATCAAAATAATGAGCTTATAGTTGTTTGGATTGCTTTGTTCCCTTACTGAAATATTCTGCTACTATGTTTGCTCCTCCAGACATGGAGTCGTGTTTGTCAATTTGGGAGGTATATTACAAGTCTGATCTATGGGACTTTTCACCTTTCTTTGACTAAAAGAGGCATTTTCTAGAATGCAAACCAGCAGAGTGGGCCTCAAGAAAATCCCATAAAACCAGGAAAAAAGTTTGTTTGGTTGGTTTTTTTTTAATATGAATGGATCATATTAATGTGTGAAAGAATCAATTCTACAAAGAACCCCTGCTCCAGTGGAATAATAATAATAATTTTAAAAATACTTTAAGTATGTCAGTTACCCATGTATTAGCTGTTGGAATGGATGAGAATTGCTTCCTTACATTCTCTGTGCCCTGGATGTTTTCTGAGAACAGCCGTTTTCAGAAGGTAAAAGAGCACATGTGATTCTTGTGTGCCGGTCTCTGTGCATGACTTCAGTCCCAAATAATGTAGTCTCTTAGGGAGTGGTAAGTGCTTCATCATTATTCATGGCTCTAGAACTGGGTTCAACGGTAATGTAAGGTTTAGGAAAAGATCCCATGGCTCAATGAGAGTGTCAGTCAGAAACACCTTGGGCTTAATAGCCTAGCAAGTAAAAGTCTTTGAGGCAGTACAGAAGGAAAAGCCAAAAGCATATATTTGTGACATGAGCTGCTGAACTAGCAAGAATCAGACTAGAAAGGAGTAAAGTTGTATGGTAAATGGCTGGGACTTGAGCAGGTGTTCAACCAAACAGCAAATCTCCTGCATCTTTAAATAAGCAAAGCAATACTTAAAAGCAAGAATAGTAGGGAAATCAGAGGTGCAGACAGACTCCACTTGATCTTCTCTTTCCTGCACGTGAAGATACAGTACTAGACACCGACATGACAGAGAGTGAGGTTCTAGAGCAAACTGGTCATTTAGACGGCACCAGTGTGCAGGTCACTTACACCAAGAGGGATTTAAAAGAGGGATTTCTCCTCAAAATCATTAAAACGGTTCTGGTTCTGGAGGAGTGTATAACAGCAAATGACACATGTAGGCTTTTAAAAGAATATAGACAGATGATGCAAATTTACAATGTTGCATGTATTCTTTGTAGATTTTTGTCTAATATAATGAAAAAACAAGAAGTGGTGCAAGGTCTGGTAAGCATGTAAATAATTTCTCTAGAAAGGAAAATCACTTCTCTTATGCAGGTGTCAAGAAGACTAAGCAGCAATGATGCTGGTGGTAAACTTGTAGATCAAAGTTTGTCTGAAATGAAAGTGTATATAAGATGAATCTTTTTAATGTGAAAAAAAAGATAACTGCAGGGGGGGTGAGAAAAGGGCTCAGAGTTCAGGGCTAGATCTTGTTCAGGTAGTGTACTTAGGATGTGATAAAAGGAGGATGGGAAGGAAAAACTGCAGATAATATTTAAAGAAAATGCCTATCTTGGAAAATGATGAATAAAACCCTCAGCATCGAAGACAGAAGAAAAGAAAAAAACTTATTCTCTTTTCGACTGGAGAACTTCAAATGCTACCAGCCTGCCAGACTTCCCACTGTTATTTTCTGCCTGTATTAGGCCATTAGAAACTTGTAGTACTCCTGTCATTCTCACCCTCTCCTTAGTCCGAGTTCTTGCTGCTGGAGAGGGAAGGAATTGCAGGTCAGGTCAAGGGTGAGTAGAAATACTGAGTGAAGACTTGAACAGCAAGCAGTTCTCAAAAGCCAAGCAGGACCTGAGCTGTGGGCATACAGGCATGTGTTTTTTAGGTATGAAGTTTAACTTGAAGCCCTAGAAAAGAGACATTGTGGAGGTTTTAGGTTTTAGTGGGGTTTTGGTGGTTTTTTTTGGTGTTTGGGTTTTTTTGTGTGGATTTCTTTTTACATTTCTAGCTCGGCTTTCACCTGAAGTGTGGTTCTGTTCTAGGAATTGATGAGTCAGAAGTGGTACCTCTTGTTCAGCAGTGCTCATCCAAAGGGAAAGCCTGCTGTAAACTTAGAGAGGCATGGGCTTGTCAGCGCTTGCTGCTTAATACAGTGACCAACTCCTATGAGATCAGAAGCAGTTTTTTTAATGGTTGCAAATGAACCGGATTTATTTCTTGGATTATAGACACATCGTCCAAATGGGACAGAAAGTCCATTCCACTGTGCGAGGGCTGTGACTTCTCAGGCTGAGGGCTGAGAGCTGTTGTGTGGCAGCTGCAGGAGTATCTCTTACCACCATCTTCTGGAAGTCACCTAGAACTACAACCTCTGTCAGGAGTGCTTGGCAGTGTCTTAGGATGTGCAAGTAGTAAGTCAGAATGGGCAGAATGGATGTCTTAGGGAAACGTGTGCTGATGAATATTATCTTCTCTCTTCAGCCCATTTGTCAGGCAGCTTATAATAATGATTTCAATGAAGTTCAGCTCCTTTTGGAGCGCAACAGCAACTATCTGAACATCCAGGACAGCTTCGGTGGAGACACCCCCTTAATTTGTGCATGCAAACAGGGAAACAACAGGATAGTTAGCTATCTTCTAAAAAGAAATGCTGATGTCAGCCTCAGAAACAAGGTAAGTGGACACTGACTCTTCCTTTGCAGTGACTGTTCTTTCAGATTCTTGGAGCGTGTGTGTGGGAACACTGGCAGTACTGCCAAACCTGAGGTTTGTTTCCAACTGAGGTGTAAGTATAGCCCCCAAATTTTAATCTAATAAACCTTTATATTTCTATTTGCCTCCTCATTTGTCTTCCTAACTTGCCATTGCACACAAGATAATAAACATTGCCAACCTGAATTTCTCTCTGTGTTCACGTTCCCAGTTTAGGTAATACTGCATGCCGCCCCCAGGGGGTTCTGCCTGCTTCCCCATGCAGCACTCGGCATTCATCTTGCCCTCCAGCTTGTATCTGTCTCTTCTGTAGCTTTTCTTTTCCCTCTGTCTTCTTCTTCACCCTGGTTAAAAGGAAGGTCTGAAGGAGAGCCTGTCCATCTCTCACAAACGTATCCCTGAGGAGAGACTGACTCTATGAAAACCTTCTTTATTCCCTCTGCAGACCTGCTTTTGTCACATTGACACATAATAGCGTGCTGGGGGGTGAGGAGGGAAGCCTTTGTTCTTCACCTGTTCCCTATTTTAAAAACCTACCTGCCTTGCACAATAGCTGTGACCAGCTATTTTCCCTAAGGTGATGAGGAAGAGTGTTTTTGTGGTAGATTTCCTTGTAGGTTACAAATAAAAAGTAGTAAAAAGATGCGTATTTTGGCTTCATTACTAATTTATTCTTATGATGTTAGGGGTGATAAATAGCCAGGAAACCCCTCCCCAACATCGTCAATTCTATTGTATCATCTCATACTCCAAGGCAGTGTTTAGCAAGTTCCTACACATATGTGGGCTATCTTATATCTCTGGTTTCCAGTGCATTTGTTTATTTCATAGGAGGGCAGCAAATGTTCGTGAGGTCATAGGCATATTCTATCCTATCTATTCTTGATGCAGAAGACTCTCCATCTTGCCTCAAAGTCCCTTTGAAAAGGGTTCAGTATTTTGCAGTAAGACCATTCTAATTGCATTGGCAGCCATTTGCTAGCTGTGCCTGGCTTTCTTAAATGCTTCTCTGCTTCAGCTTCACAGATGGAATCGGGCCCTTGGGTGCAGAGCTTGACTGTGGTGCTCAGGACTGAGAATGGGGAGCAGAGGATGACACAGAAAGGCTTCTCTGCTTATTTTGGTCCCCAGTGTAACACTGTAACCCAGTTTGTCAAACTCCAGTTTGACAACCTGTAGGAGGTTTAATACGAGTGTTCTTTAACACACAAGTTAAAAGCTCTACCCTTTAGTTGCTTTGGTATGCTCAGTATTCAAACATTTTTTAAACTCTCTTCTCACTTGGAATTTGCTGGGGGTGTTGCTACTTGCCTGTGTTTCTCACGTGTGCCGTAAGGGAGATGCCATAAACTCTTTTATGTCTTTGCTTCGGTAACCAGCACCTCTATAAGAAGAGCTGTGAGGATTCTTCCTGCTGATTTAACTTGCTGGGCCGCAGTAGTAGCCACATGAGATGTCCACTCTGCCCTCTTTCCCTCTGCAGCTATGTCCAAGTTTGCAGACATACACATGGAATCCTTTGGATCCCACATCCTTCTTGCACATGTAGCCCGATTTCCATGAGCCTGGATGTGTTAAATGTGCTTCTACTTGAAGGAAGCAAAATGCATCTGTCTGTTTCTGCTTGAAAATCAGAGAAAAATTTCTGGTAGATAACCTAAAAGAAAGCTTGTGAAATATACAGTGGTCTACTATTGTCAATATTAAACAAATATAATCAGATCACTGAATCTGGTACTAATCAAGTTATTTTGTGTTTAGAAAGACCGCACATGTCTGCATTATGCTGTGAGAAAACGGTTTACCTTCCTTGACTATGTGCTTATCATAATCCTCATGCCAGTTATGCTTATTGGATACCTCCTCATGGTAAGTCTGGATGAAAACAGGAAAGCCCCTGTACCTTTCCCTTTTCCCTTATCACCTTTCTCATGGCAGTATTTCAGGCCAGTAACTTGAATAGAATATGGACTGCTGTTTTTAAAGCAAAGACTGATGGAGAGCAAGAGAAGAAGCAGGGATTTTGCTGTGAATATAGCTAGTGAAGGAACAGAATTGTAGCACTGCATCAGTCTGACATTTGCAGAAGCCAGACACTCTTCTTTTTGAAAAAAAAAACAAAGCCAGACACTCTTCTTTTTGAAAAAAAAAAAAAACAAACAACCCAGTATTTAGCCAAAATCTACTGAGTACTATATGCAGATGAACTGTCTTACTGTGTTACTTTTTCCCTTGCACCAAACAGGTCTCAAAGACTAAACAGAATGAAAACCTGATCAAGATGTTGCTTAGAGCTGGAGTGGATGTTAATGCTACAGACTTTGTAAGAGGGTTTATACAAACGCAAATGTGGTTTGTATGCATGCAACATTACTAAAAACAGACTTCAGAATCTTCTAGCAATATAGTCCTGCTTTCAGAGTAAGATTGGGCTTCTAGCAATATAGTCCTGCTTTCAGAGTGGGATCGGAGACTGAACTGACCATGATGTAGCAGGAGGATTCAGTGTTTCCCCTTGACACTTAGGCAATAGTTTCATAATGTACACAGAAATAATTCTCCACTGATCAACTAATTCTCCCTTTCTGACCATTCTCTTAAGAGAATCCAGGCAAGCTGGGTTGAGATATTTACGTATTAAATACCTGATCCTATAAAGATTCTAGTGATATAAGGGTCTGAGTTTATCACCATTTATGAGTTCTTGGACCGGAGCAGATTTGTGGGCAAAGGTCATGCCGCAGTGCTAGAGCCTGTCTTCTCTTGATCTTCAGAGTCTGCTGATGTGCCACGTGTAGAATTCTGTAGCCACTGGCCTACTTGGGTGTGGTAAAGAGCTCCTCTCCTCTAAGGTAGAAAAGGAGAAACCCCAATTTTAGCAGCACCAAATTCTAAAACACTGAAGTGTGAGCAAATAGTATTGCTTAAGACATAGTTGTTGAGATCAAGATCATGGAATCTTCTGAAATTAGTAAAGAATTATTGGCTTCCTGATAAAGGTAACAGACCTGTTTTAGCAGCTGCATCCTGGGGGAGGAATGATTTTTTTTTTTGTTCCTGCTGCTCTTATGAGAATGTATTTATTTTACTGTGTAGCGTATTGTGACAGGAAATGATATGTGTCTTTTGCATCCAGCTGTTAGGGGGAAACTGATAAGGCTACAGGTAGTCGTATTTGCCTAAGGTCTACTAAAGAAGTAATAGAACTAAAATTCATCTGCCTCTCTTTCCTTTCAGTCTGGTAGCACAGCCCTTCACTATGCTTGTGAAATGAAAAACCAGGCAGTCATTCCTCTACTGCTTGAAGCTCACGCAGACACTTCTGTAAAGAATCAGGTAAGAAGGTTAGATTGACACCTGTATTTCCTTATCATGATGGTGAACCAGTATGTTGTAGGCCTTAGCTGGTGTGCAGCAGTTTAAAAAAAGCGTGCACAGCTTCCTGGCAGCAGACTTGTTTGCTCTATGGTATAAAGCAATGTTTGCTCCATTGCCTTTGTTAGCAAGAGCAACTTTGAAGTCCAAATCCTTCACTGCTGGATTTCTACCAGTAAACACTGCCTGTATGTCCACTGGATTGGCAGATCTCTTAGCCATCTTTACGGTACCTCTTCTTAACTCAGAGCTGCTCTACAGTTGTTCCTAAGAAGCAGGCTGCAGGGGAGTGGTAAGAGCCTTCCTAGGTGCTTTTTGTGCCACTGGACACCATTCTTTTGAGAGGGGCTAAGTCAAGCTGCTTCTGTCATCAGAAAAGCACAAATTTTGTCCAAATAAGTATTGACCTGGGAGTATCTGCATTACTGAGTTGAGGTGAGCAATGTATTGCCCATGTTGCTCTTGAAATCAGCTCTTAGCTTAGCTCTGCACTGACTTTGGATGTTAGCCCCAGGAAACAGTGGAATGGCTGTCACTACTGGAGGGGAGGGGAGGACTCTGCCCCTGGCTTCAGTGAGAGTAGTATTAGACCCAGGACATTCTGAAACCTTTGTTTTAGAGCAAGGATGTGACAGTGAAACTTATGCAGGAGAGCACTGCATCTGGGTGGCAAACTGGGGAAAGCTCTTTGTATTTGACCTATATCTATCATCTGTTTCTTTCAGGATGGGGAGACTCCTTTGGATATAGCAAGAAGATTGCAGTTCCACAACATTGAAAGCATGCTAAGGAAAACTTCCTAGTCATCAAGGACTCTTGAACATGCAGAAAATTACCTCATCTGGGAATACACCTTGCACAGCAGCAGGAGTCCTGCAGAGGGTTGAGGGCTGTTACTTGATAAAGACTTGGTCCAAATCCACCCATTCCTTGCTGCAGACTTTGACTATTTTGTGTGACACTTGTTAGTACCCCCAAGGCCAGATGGGCTAAAAGGAGTTAATTTGATTTTACTAAGCCGTGAATGATTACAATAGTATTCGAAATATTGCCCTTCCCATCTGCTTCCCCAGTTTTATTACTTGACTTGTGCAGACTGTGGATTTTGAAAGCTAACTATAGCGTTTCTGGAAGCTTAAGCGTTGCACATGATGGTTGGCAGCCAATGCAAAGATAAAATATCCTTTAGAGTGTGGGTTACTTGTTTTGTAGGGGATACAGTTGACAGCTGAACAATATGCCACAGCAGCTTATAAAAAGTCTGGCACCCTTCCTCTGTATTTCTCTTCCTACAATGTGAGTGAGTCGGAAAATAGATCTCTCAGCTTAGCACTTCCTCCTTCCATCCCTGCTACAAGTTTCACACACCTTTATTCTCACTATGTTGCTACAAGGGAAGGATTATCTTTTTTTTTTTTTTCTTCATATAAGAAACAGCAAAAAGAGATTCAATGAGTTGTTGGAGACCACAAAGAAAGTGAATTCCCAGGTCACTTTAATGCATTAAGAAATAATAATGAAAATATGTTTGGAGCAGAAGAGAAACAAGTCTCTTGACTACCTTTCCAATATTAACAGTATGCTAAAAAAAAAATAAATAAATGAAATGTTGTTGATGGGAACCAGATGTATCATTTCCAGGGGACTGGACAGGATAGCACGCTTTTCAGAGTGGTGCATGCAGCAGGGGATGCGTATACCAAAATAATAAAAATAATAATAAATAATAAAAAAATTAATGAACCTTCTCTTGCATAGATGAAGGCAGAAGAAAACCTGCAGTGGTAAGCAAAGTATTAATGTGGCCTGGTGCTTTGTAATTTAATAGTGAAGCAATAAAGGGGAATCTCCTTTCAAACGCTGCTGTATCTGGCTTTCTTGGTCTAATGGATCTTTATTTTTGTTGGTAGTTTTGGCCATTTCCTGTAAGCCAGCATAAGTTCAGAAGATAGATGCCATGATCAGCACTGCTAATGGCTGCTAGACTAGCTGCATGGACAAGCTAGTGTATTTTTCCTGTGTTGCAGAACACAGATATATTTTTCAGTGTAACTATTCTATTGGATGCTGACTCCAACTACAAAGGGTCTTGGTTGGGCAATGTGAGCTTGGGGTCCCACCCAGAAACATCCCAGGAAACAAAGCTACCCTGTCTGAGCTTGTAATAATGAACGCTTTGGGACAGACGCTCTTACCTACCAGATCAACTTGTAGGTGAGTAGATGTGAGCCATTTGCATGGATAATGAAGATGCTATCTCTTTGGGCTAATGGCCGGAAAGGGAAAACAGCTGACTGCTTTCCCACGCTGTAGAAATTGCTTGAAAAAAGAATGGTCAAGACACAGAGTTATGTAAAAGTCAAAGCCGATAGCTCAGAGTGCTTGCAACAACTTCATTGCCAGTGTCAAGAATAATTCATGGGGTGGAAGCTGTATTGGAGTGCAGCTTGCCTGATGGGTCTACATCTCCTCATTCCTCAGCTGCCATCCATGGTCTTTGAAGTTGGGGGGTTTAGAGTGCGTGAACAAACCTTTGGGTGATGTGTGGGCATGGAGGGCGGGAGAATACTTCTATGAGTTTTTCTGAGGTTGGATGCCTCGATGTTTGGAAGTCATCTATTGCCTGCTCAGTTTCTTGTGTCTGAAGATCTCTTGGTTGTGTTGACACTGTAGGTAAATGTGAGGAGGGAAAAAGAAAAAAAAGCCAAGTTCTCTGTCAAATAGATAAATGATTTAATTTAAACAAAGGTCAGTTGTACTTCAACAGAGAAATGAGCAAATCCCACTTTTGGTCTTCATGGGAAGACACAAATTGGGTATGGGCATGCCTCTGTGGGGTAAGTAAGATATACACGAGAACAACAGAGTTTAGGCTTAGGAAAATCAGTCTTGTAGAAATAAAAGCTGTCCAAATTAAGTGATCCCTGCAGTGTGTGCTCAAATATATTCATGTTTTCAGCTTTCATTCCTTTACACCTCAAACTTCTCAGGAAGACAGCAGTCACAGTAACACCATGGAAAACCTCAAACTATGAGGAAAGCAAGAAACAAACAAGTGCAGATAAATACCTATACTCATATCCATTATGTGTGTGTGTTTACCTCTTCCCCAGGTAAAACCCTTATTGCCAAATAGAAACTTTGGAGGTTTTTACTGAGTGAATCAACACCCTGCCTGTCATTTCAACAGTATTTTGTTATTAGTTCAATGATCTTCCGATACATTTTCTCAGTTGCATCAAGGCCCCAGATGAAATCAAGATGTCCCCAAGCAGGAAAATGCTCATGGTAAATGAGATTAGTAATCCGAGGAAGTAGCTTTGCCATGTCTTTTGGATCTGCAAATTTGTCACGTCCACCACTCCAAACGGCAATTGGTGTGCTTATCTTCTCTATCTCGTACGCAGGAGGAGTAGACTGCAAGAAAGAGAGGAGACCTGAGTGAATGCTCTTTTATCAGAAGTTGTGTCTGGAGAAAGGATTCTGTGCGAGCATCGCTCCCTCCCTTCTGCACTCACTACAGTAAAACAGTAAGGATGAAGGCCACCCTCTTAGTGTTTGTTTCCCTAACCCCGTTCCTTGTCTACCATGAAAAGGAATGATCCACCCTATTCCTGTGTCTTTCCTTAATGCATGGCTAGGAGTTGTCCTGCAGTTTGACACCTGCTTGTGCCCTTCAGAGGTGGGGATATGGAAACAGCAGTGTCTGTGTTTACCAAGCAAGAACTGTGGAGCTTATTCATGTGTATATTTAGAGTGGGAAGATCTTTAAGTTTTGTTGGGGCATAGAGGGCAATTGTTGGTCTTAGTTGTTATGCTTGGGACTTAAGTGGCAAGGAAATAATTTGGCCATTTATAATTTCGCTCTAGAAAATTTCTGAGACAGTGTGCATGGGTAGAAGTGACTGACTATATCTCTGGAGTCTTTCTGTCTGTGAAAAGCAGCCTACCCTGGTACAGCACAGGACACCGCAAATCAAATATGCCAATTAAAAGTGAAATGATTGTCAGCCAATTGGAGAGGTCACCGTAGCTGTGAGATTCATTTCCTCCCTTAACTGAAAGGCAGACCTTGAGGATTTTTGGGGGAGTGAAGAGCTCCATACTCACCCAGCCCTAGGACTTGGGTGTGGAACTTAGCCTTTTGGGAATGGCAGGTAAATTGACATGTCGTTGGACACATCCCTGCATCAGTAGGGGAGGCAAAAGGAACTTCTGTTACCTGTCTGTGAGGAACTGTCTACGCCTTGTCTGTCAATAGACTTTTACACGTGTGAGTATTAGATTCAGGTGAAACATTATCTCAGACCACTCTCTCCCTCTTTCTGTAGCACTCAAGGTGCTCAAATCTGAACTTTTCTGTTCTTAGTTTTGCCAGGACCTGAGGATGAGTTCTCAGGGAAACCGTATTGCCTTACCTGGTTGTATTTCTTCATGTTTTCCTTAGAGCCATAGTCATAAGCTTGAAATTGGTCTGCACGTGTTAGCTGTTAAAAGAACAGATGAAGTGTAAGTGTTGAGAGACCAAGAAGCAGATTGCAGGAGGTGTTTTCCTGCCTGTGATTGAAGCCAAGGCTCAGGCAGTGGACAGTGAGTTACTCCCACCCCTGCCTCTGGTTGCAGGCTTCCAGGGGTACTAAGGGTGGATCGTAGGGCGAGTGGCTTCATTGCCTTTGCTCTTGCTAACTTCCTCTCCGGATCGTCAGCCGCCACCCTTGGTACGTTTTGTTATTAAAATTTTGCTTGACTATCTTAGTTAGCTAAAGTTGGGGTCCCTGTTTGCGATGCAGAGTTGGGTTCCATTGCCACATGGAAAGAGGACCTGAATGTCTAGAACGTGTCAGGGCTATTACTAGTCTAGTGTAATATACAATCTCTCCTTACACATCTTGTCTTTTGTGTGTCAGTTTTGCTTGGTCTGTTCACACAAGTGGCGGCATATCCGGAGGCTCTGTACTTATAAGAGTTTGGTTATACATGAGTTGTGCTCTGACAGCAGTTTTGAGGTGGGACATTAGACACAAGACATTAGGCTTCCTGAGTCTGTGTTGTCTAAAAGACATGATATATGCCCTGCAGGACTGATGAGTGAAGAGTTAAGTACACATTTGTTTGGGGTTTTTTTGTTGGTTTTTTTTTCATTTTATTTTTATTTTATTTTTTGCACAAACCTGACAAGTAATTTCATTTGTGAGTGGCTGTATGTAATACAGGTTGAGAGAAAGTCAGTGTCTATCAGTTTAGAAAACCAAGGCTTCAAGTAGCTGGGAATGTGCTAGAAATCTGCTTGCTGTATTGCCTTTGCTATTTTCCTCTATCCTGCTGTATCTGTGTTTGCTTTGTAGCCACTTGACTTTGTTAGAGGCTGGCAAAATAGGCTGTAAAGCCACTGGCTGTCAATGGTTTGTCCCCATGGGTGTGTGTGCAGGGTAGGTGTATCCTGCAGGACTGACTGCTGGGAATTTTTGTCAGGGGTGTCCTCAGGAGCACACCTATATTCTAGATCATATTAAGTGTTTGCAGAAATGGGGGTTCTGCCTATAGGATGTATGTAGATATATCCTGGCTCAGCAGGTGCACCTGGACACATGCAGTGATGTCTCTTGGCTGGAGCTGTCTTGCCCTGATCTGATTCAGACTATGAGCAGAACAAGCTCAGATCTGGCAATACATAAGTAGAAACCCACCTTTAGAGAACTGGAATCCAGGATTTGGACGGTGGCAAGAGTGATTAAAAGGGTTTTGGAAAAACCTGGCTGTTGGGAACATCCCTGTAGAGCAATGTTGCTTGTCATGTACTGTA